AACTATAATTCAAATCTAGRTAACAGGTGACTTACGGTGGTTTTGTGTGTTTTGGTGGGTGTTTTAAAGTTTTTGTTTTATCARTGGGTACAAGGTGGGTGAAAAGAAGATGGAGCCAGGCTTTTTCCAGTGGTGCTTAGGGACAAGACCAGAGGCCATAGGCATGCTCTAAAACATAGGAGGTTCCCTCTGAATATCAGAAAACACTTTTTTTTACTTTTGATTATGATTGAGCACTGGCACAGGTTCCCCAGAGAAGTTGCAGTCTCCCTCCCTGGAGATTTGAAAAAGTTCTCCCTGCTTGAACAGGGGAGTTGGACAAAATGATCCCCAGAGGTCCCTTCCCACCTCAGCTGTTCCACAATTCTGTGATTTGAGAGCAGACACAGCCCACACTTTTTGAACATCTTTTCTTCTAAAAGATTATGTTATCTCAAAACATAATTCCATTATTCTATAGCAGTAAAACTATTGTGAATGACATAATAGTATTTAGTATAAATAACMTAAATTTATTATCCTTCTTGTGTTACTACTAATAGATTATCAGTTAGCCTGGGATAGTTGGAATTAGCTGCAGTTAGGCTGTCTCTATGATTTACAGAAAATGGCTCAAAATTTTCTTTTTATTCATTCACCACATACACTCCAAATATCCTCAAGATGGCAATATTTCAAAGCACCAGGGTGATGCAAGGCCAGATGGCATACTGAAGCACTTTTAATGCTGAGTTAATAGTTCCCAAAAGCACTCATCAAATAATTCATACTAACAGATTCTTCATTCTAAAACCCTTCCAAAGAAATGTGGAAAGTGCACTTCACATCATCAATGAATTCCTATCATGCTAACRCATTTCATCAGCCTCTGCTGTCCTGTACCAATTGCCTGTGCCTTCCCAATGCAGTTCTGAACATTTAGTGATATTTGCAAGATGAACTACAGTGAGTTTGGGCAGTAGAAAAATTTACAAAGGCCAGATCTTAAAAAGGCAGTGGCAAAACATTCTGCCAAGCTGAAAGCTAAGAATATTTTTCCATTGCTGCCATCAACCACATACATACTGGATAAGAGCCAGTCAGTCTCAATAAGCAAAACAGATGCTGACATTTACACTAGCAAAAGGGGGGCAGAAAGRCAGCCCTGAGAGATCAGAGGAAAGGAGTTGGAAGATATGTAGTGATTGGTTGCATTCAGAATGATGGAGACATGACACAGGATTGTGGAAAAGTAAACAAAACTCACAATGTTTTTCAATGCTTTCCTGAAAGATGACAAAGAAAAACAAGGTGTGAAAGAATTTTAATCATCTGATTGTAACGATGATCTTACTATTTGATATTTGGGGTTCTAGCTAATTTGCTGTGTGATCCAAAAATGATGATTTTTATAAGCCTCAGGAAGTTTGAGTATTACTATACTATCCCTCAATTAGCCTAAGCTTACAGGTGTATTTTTACAGTGGTGTGTTCATCACACTTCCTGCAGTTTTGTGCAGATTCAAGCTCTGTATAGCAAATCACCAAAGTTTTTTAGTTGCTATAGGCTTCCATTTTTCAAAAGATAGAACAGTTAAAATAAAGGYATGGGGACTAAGAAAATCGTATAGGAAAAGAGATAGAAACAAGAAAATGTAATGCCARTTATTCTACAAAATCCATTTCAATATTTGAAACTTCAAATACAAATTATGTTGTTGGGCCTGCATATTGTTGTTTTTGAGTTTTGCTTCCSTGGACTAAAGTTTCCATGGAAATCCTCTGCTAATAATTATTTTTGCTATGCTTCTAATTACAATCCCACTGCAAGTCTTGCCAGTACCACAGCAACCTCTCTTCACAGAATATCACAAAGTGGAAGAACAAAGAAGCCATCCAGCAAAAGCAAAAATGAGATTCTAGTAAAATCAGATGTARCATACAGCTAAAAATCATGTTAGTAGCAATATATGTATATACAGTCTTTTTGAGACAGACAATAATTTGGTGATATTAAGGACAATCTTGTCTGTCTTTGAGTTCTTTTTTCTTCTCCCCACCCCCCTCACTTCTACATTTCCTTTTCCAGGCCCAGGCTCTGTGTAAATACAGTTCTTTTTGAAAAGTTGTCAGAAATCTCATTAGTCTTCTGTGCTTTTTCTAAACACAARGATTTCACAATAGAGGCAAATCACTTCTGGACTAAATACTTCAGCCAGTGGTGGGTTCTCATCACTTGGCAGAGACTGGATAACTCCCTGTGAAATATGTGTAAGCCAAATATTAGGTTCAGAAATTACTGGATGACGGACTAATGCCTGTGAAACAGTTTGTGTATCCCATTCCTTTCCTTATAATAAACCATTTTACTCACTATAAACCAAATTACAACCCAAATCATGTRTTCTAGGATCACAGAAGTGTCTGTTACATCACTCTGCCATCCCTGTGTGCTAGGCTGTGGTTTGAGCAGTTCTTGTAGGTGTGATAAAGCCATGGAAGGGAGGTATGGTAAAAATACAGCCCAGGTGCATTAAGGCTCAGATAGAAAATGCTGGAATCATTGTTTCTCCCARACAGTTCATTCCACATGCTGCATCTCCTAACTTTTACCGATATTCTTATGTGTCATGGTAATCTGCAGCTGTTTAATAGAAAAAAAAAAAAACCGAAATGAGAATTTTAATTCAAAATTTGCTTCATATCTGGTTTCTTTCTATCTTTCAGGTGTCCTTGTTAGGCAAGAATCAAGTTGACACTTTTCTGTGGTTTAGTGTGTTCAAAGTCTCTGATGCAGTTCAATGTACCCACATCAGAACAGGCACTTCCGCTCTCTTTTATGTAATTAAGCAGCAAAGGCAGTTTCAAAATTTAATGCCAAAATAGGGCTAATTTTTAAAGTAATCAAACTGCATGGAATAAGGATTGAAAAAACATTTCAGGGCACATTGCTGGGATTGACAGTCATATACATAAATACATATTAACCACTAGCCACCCTTTGTGTTACAGCARCTTTTGCAGCCACCTGCTCTAACACTGAAATTCTGTGAGTTCCTGATCTTTACCAGTTTCAGAGAATCTGAAASGGTAAAGGGTTGGAAGGGACCTCTGGAGATCATTKAGTCCRATCCCCCCTGCCAAGGGAGGCAGTTTATTCCACARATAAAGMGAAYAGAAAAATTAACGCTATTTGTACAWTTTCAGAAATTGTCRTATGACTGCATTCAAACAGATATGAAGAAATGTATATCAAAATCTTCACAGATTTTTGCGGTTGGTCTCTGTTTTTCAGCTATCAAACAAGTAATTCTTCTTGGCAGTGTATTTGGAGTAGTTGGTGTTGCAGTCCTGGCACGTCTGGGTTATTTATGCAGAAAGCAGAGGTAAGACTTAATTGAACTGAAAACACAAATGAACTGCTAAAGAAACAACAACTGTTATGACCTTTTTAATAAGTTAATAATGTCCACTGGCAACAAATTGTCAGTGTGCTACAGTTTAAAATGTAAAAAAAACAAAAGTGCAGCCGATGTATCCCCACTTATCAACTGTGTGTGCAACTGATTGGTGGAGAAAGAGGGCAGCATAGTGAGTGGAAATGGTTTTGCCTAGGAATACTGGCAGATTATGGATATATGGTTGATTTTCTGAACTTTGCTATCAACTATTACAAATTTTTAAGCCTTCTCTGTTCCAGCACCCACAAGGAACAGAATGTTGTATAAAATGGATTCAAAGTTGAGTGGATGGAAACACAATGGGGCTGCAGTCCTTGGAAAGAAGWCTTTATGTGTGAGGAAGAACTAAACACTTCTGAATTTATCGTTCAAAAAAAAGCATGGCACCAAGCTAACAAAACACTGCTATTGTTTTGCAGTATTTCATCAGCTTAAGAATGCTATATTCAGTAGGAGCTCAGAGAAGTAAGAATGTGGTATATTATGTTGTGATATTAAAAATTTATGTGTAAAGCCRTGCTACTATATGGAGTCCTTTTCCTGCTTTCTATATATGTCACAAAGGCCAGAAGAAATGTAAGCATATTTTCCCCCTCAAAATCAACCTTACAGCTTTGTATGATGCGAGGTTTCTCTATGCTAAAAGTGAGATGCATCCATTGTGTGTATTGATACAACAGTTAAGGCCTACAAACTGTATTTTATTTCTTCCCCTTYCTGAATATGACATTGTTCTCTCCCTTTATGAGTTGCTATTTGATTACACAGCAATGGTGTAARGGGGCTAGAAGGATGTTTGCCCTCTTTCTGTTCCAGACACAGCAACTTTCTCTATAATTTTTGCTGTTAGCGTGGGGTTTTTTTTCTGTTGGTTGCATGTTAGCAAAGCTGTACTACCATTGCTAAAACCTCTCACAGGGCAGGCAATAAGGCTTTGTGGAAATTTAGGCGATGGCTTGACATTATCACCTTGACACTTTGTCCTTTGGTATCTTCAGGGAGGTGGAAAAAATAAACAAAACCAAAACAAACCACAAAGCCAAACCCTATCTYTCTGCATGTGTATCTACTATTATAAGAAATGAACGCAGCTCGTCTTTTTCGGTGCGGGAGTGTGCTGGCTGCCGTGTTTGTGTCTCGCTCTGGCTGTGCTTTGCGCTGCAGGTGTGKGTGTCTCCTCAGGTGTCCGTGTTTGCCGTCAATGTCTCGGCTCCCTGGGCGTGCTGGGCTCTCGTGTGTGTGTCCGTGCCTCCCCCTGCCCCTCTCGGGGCCGGGACAGCGGCTCCGCCCGCCTGGGGCCGGGGGGTTCCAGCCGGGGCACGGCTCCACCGGCCGGGCGAGAATTGCCTTTTCAGTCTTCAGAACGATTCCCGCGGAGCCGCTCATGCCCGCGACCCTCGGAAAGTTTGCAGCGTTCTCTGCCTGTGTGGGGTCCGTCCGTGCCTTTCAGGAGAGGAGAGSCGGGCTGCACCTGCGCGCTCCCTCCGGCTCTGACACCCTGAGGGCGAGCCCCGCCGGGCGSAGGGCAGGGACAGCGGCTCAGGGCTCTTTCCCGGCTCTTTCCCGACCCTTTCCGCGGCCGCAGCGGGACACTGAGTGCGAGGGGAATGACGAGAGCCAGCCTCGGGATGGAGGAGTTTGTGTGTTTCTCTGTGTGTGTGTCCCGGCCTGCGAGGAGGGCTCTGCCCCGGGGCGAACGCCCTCAGCCCGAACCTGTCGGTGTGAGGAGTGGAAGCGGCAGCTCCGCCGCCCCGCGCCCCAGCAGGTTGGGATGTCGGTCTCTATCCTTTCCTGTCACATGGCTGGTAATAGGATCCCTCATCTGCCACTCGGCACCTCGCCGGGGCGCACTTTACAGGACACATGCTGTAGGGCCTCCGCTTCCCGCACTTTGCGCTCTTCCCGGCCGCCTGCCACCCCCGGAGAGCTGGGGCTGCCGCCTGCGAGCGCCGTGCGGCCCGGCGGCCGCCGCCTATGGAGCCCCCCGCCCTCGCCGCCGTCCTGGCCTTCTCCGGGCTGGCGCTGAGCTGCTGCCGTGAGCCCGAGCTGTCCGGTGAGTGTCGCTTCGCGGGGAGCCGGGAGCGGGGCGCGTTGGGGGCTGCTCCCCGAGTTGCTCGCAGCGCTGAGCGGTGAGGCAGCCGGGCAGTTTCTGCCCGAGCTCCGCAGGCTCGCAGCTGGCGTTCAGCCTCCCGCGGAAGGGCTGCTCTGCCGCCCGGCAGCGCCTCTTCGAGGTGGCGGCGACGTCCCTTCCTGCTCGCCGGAGCGGTGCCGGGCTCGCAGCTGCCCGTGCGGACATGCAGCGGGTGTTTTTGCGTGGGGTTCGTGGGTGTTTGAGGCTCTCCCCGTGCTTGCTGAACTGGGAGCTGGGAAACCGTGCGGAAGCGTGATGTAAGAGAAAGAAGAGCGGTACATTTCTCTGTTAAAGCGGTTCGGTTGCTAGTTCTGTGGAATGGAGGCGTTTAAAGGGAGAGGGGCGTGCGATTGTTTGTGTCACTGGGGAAAAAAGCTGTGGCAGCAGAGCCAGAGCTTGAAGGGTGGCCATCCCGCCKGTCTGCAGTGTGCTGCCACAGCTCCCAGTCAAGCCTGGGCTCCTCTGACCATTCAGCTTCTTGTTCTGCCAAAGTCTGGGGAGCCTGAAGCTTCACTTCCTAAGGTGATTTTTCACTTAAAACTTCCCTGCACCCTTTTGTCCTCAATTTAGACGTTACTAATGATTTCCAGTACTATGATTCTTCTCTGGTAAACATTGGCCATGCTTTGCAAGATCTGAAGTGGCAGTTCCAGATGATCAGTGTCACAGCTATCAGATGTGTGGTCCTTCTGGATACATTTTGTGGATTCTTTATTGCTGTTCCTTCTTAGAAAGTAGAATTTGCTCTTCTTCTTTTTGAGCACATACTTTTCTGCTTCTTTTTGAATATGTATTTGCTAACTTTTTGTAGATGTACTTATTTAGATATGGAAAATACTTACATAGACCTTTTCAGGGAATAGAATGCTTTTCAGCAGGAAGAGTTCTGGTAAATTTTGCTTCTTCTTAGAAGTAAAACATGAGAGCATTTTCAGATAAGCATTTAGAGACTGCCTGGACAGGGACCGTGTCTAACAGTCTGTTCCCAGTACCATTAGGACGTGTTTGGTACACATAGTGGATACTCCCTCCTTTGCTTAAGTTGAAGAATGTTTGCTAGTAAGGTTTCTGAGCAGAACTGTGGGCAGAACACTCCATGTGTAACCCTGTCTGTGACAGGGCTGCGTGACAGCAAGTGGAGGATGTAGCCCAGTGTGAATGTTTGGCTGTTAAAGGGGACAGAAATGCCTGAGCACAAGCAGCTGGGGTAGGGGGAGGAGGGAATGGATTACAGAGGCAAWTATTTATTGCCTCTGAACCAAAGTGTAGCAAAGGAGAATGGATCYAGAAAGTACTGCCACCTATGTGCCTTCTGCTAAAGAACCTGGGAATGGTGCATATCTGCATTTCAACAGCAACAACCTGTAATTTGTATGGCATGTACAACATCTGCAGGGTTCCTAATGTGCWCAAGTTATAAATCAGGATCTTGGTCTTGGCCCTTAATCCCACAGAAYTGAAACGGGATCAGCTGTGTCAGGTTGCACTTGAAACTGAGAGAATTCAGAAATGACAAACATTACTGTTGCTTTTGTAAGGCAGTTTGTCATATGTTTTTAATGTGTATTCCTCTTTTTTTAATGCATGTCTTAATAAGCTTATTGTGAAGGGCAATCAAAATGAAGACTTTGTCATCATCATTTGCTAAGACAGGAGAGAAACTTCTGGAATTCCTGTATGAAAAAATTACTACAATTGTTAGATATGAAAGTGAATTAAACATTTTTGCACATAGTACTATGCTATTTTTTTCAGAATGCTTCTGCTTCACTGTGGGATGTCTAACAGTTTCTAGTAATTCAAATGCTGGCATTTCTGCATTCAAAGCTTGGCATTTGTGCGTTCAAACATCAGCCATACATAGTTTCTCAAGTGAATCAGTAATAAGAGGTGTGTGCATAGATTGCCTACCATAAAGGACTGTTTGACTTAGGTGAGTTTTGTGTTACGAGGCTAAAGAAATGGAAATGCCTTCAGCAAATGTTAGTTTTGGTGAACAAATGTTATTTTATATACTCAGTGCAATAAGTTATAATTCCTAGTTTCTRTATTTATAGCATTCATTTAATTTCCTCCTCAGAAATGTATATGATTATGAATCTCTTTTTCCTTTCTCTGTTTTCTTTCCATTTAGCAATGCTGGGTCACCATGTTCTTGGYTTTTTCCCCASCTGARTCTTTCCTTTGAGTTGCTATTCCAKYCTTCTCTTACAAACCTTGTATCTCTTGTCATCTTACTCTGCGTAAGTCTTGGTGAAGAGAAGCAATTCTGCTTCATATGCCATAAGCAAGGGTCATGGAAATATTTAAAAAAAAAACCTTTTTTTTTTTTCTAACTAGGCAGATAGGGGATGAAACAGTCAAACATTTCAGCATATCATGCTTGTACATGCATGGAGCATAACTCAAAATCCAGAGTTATGTGAATGGATTTAAGCAGGATGGAGCCAAAGAAGTGGGAGGGAGACAGGGATTACATGCTGCCAGCTGCAAAATTTTCATTTTTGTCATATCACACCATAATAGTTGTGCAACTGACTGCTCCTTCCATCCACACAGTGGCTATGGTGCATCCTGATAAAATTGCCAAAGGGATTCAGTCTGCCACACTTGACAAGGGAACAACAGTTTTAAAACTTCACAAAGAAAGAAAACAAATGGGTGTATTAAGGAACAGAAATTCTTATGGGGTCACATCACGCATTCTTACATCCAGTGATAAAGAATCACAAGACAAGCAAGTGTGTTTGTATCTTGTGGCTGAGGACCAGCCAGCAGCTGCAAAGCTCTGGCTAATATAGCATGTTTGTTTTGCATGAATAAAAAGAAAAAAGGGACAGAATGCATACTTTTAAGCATTTAGAAATAATGGGAACTGCCTCTTGTACTCATAACCTAACTTGCCTGCTTCCAACATATTTCAGAAAAGGTCTGGCTAGTCAGAGTTTTTAATTTATTTTTTTTAAGTGATGAAAAAGTGATTAGCTTGATGATTAGAATCGAAATTTCACAAGTATAGMAAGTTTGCATTTATTACAGCTCATGCACTGCCAGGGAACACAAGTATCAGCTCTGCATGTCTGTACATTTCCAGGAATGTACATTTTTACAAGACAGATGTTTCAGTCAAGGATTGATCAAATCTCAGGTGCCATAATTCAAGTMTAATCAAATATTCACTGTGGCTACTCTCTGGCTTGGACCAATGCTAATTAAGTCTCTAATTCTGACCAGCAAAAATGATTTTATTTGAGGACTTTCAAAAATTRTATRTGTATGTCTGTGTGTGTGTTTGCATGGATACATAGAATAAGCAAGATATGATTTTTAAATGGCATGTGGAATGCCCCTACATTGAAAAATTATCAGCTAACCAAGTACCCTCATAGCATCACGTCAAAATTTAACTGTCTGATTTAACAAATCAGGAGTTGTTTTCTAGCAGTTTTGAAAATTGCAATTTCAAACAAAGGTGATCAGCTTTTGTTCAAACAAAGGTAATCAGGTCTTGTGATGGTTTTTCTTTAGCTTGTATCAACTGTTCTGTTGTGGGGATTTTACTGTTACAGCATAGGCACAGARGCCTGATAGTTTTGGTAAGTGCATAATTGTGTTATATTAGTATGAATTGGAATAGAAAAGTATTGAAATGAAGAAATACTACACTATTTTTTTTTTTTTACTTGGGTAGATCTCAATCAGCCTTATACTTCCCAAAAGCATTTATTTTGCATCATAGCATAATATGGAATGAGATKCTTTTTTTCCTGCCCATTCATATGATAGTATGCAAATTAACTTTTGGTTCAGTCGATAAAACTGCGTCTTCAAAGAAAACCATTGCAATGCTAAAAATATTTTTAATAATGACCACAGAAGCCATATTTGTGTCTTTCATCTCCTGGAGCTTCTTCTGGTTTTAATCAGTGTTCCCACATGAAGAACTGTGGCAACCTATGATAATAGAATCCCTATTCACATCTCTAGGGGAACAGAAATGCTCTCATTTGAAGAAGGTGATGTGGTGTTTTGCCCCTTCCATCCGTGGGCCCCTGCCTCTGTTACTGCCGGGGTATCTTGGCATCAGTTAAGTGGTTTCTGTCCTTTCCTCTGTGCGTTACTTTCTCATTGAAGTGTTTCTGCTGTCTAATTATACCCTTTCAATCAAATTAGAGACTGCAGCATCTGGTTAGTGCCTGTAACTGTTGCCATCTGCACCTAGATACAGTGCTTTCATTTAAGGAGGAGAGCTTCAATTGCAATCTCTAACCAGAGCTAGAACAGTTTATGGAGCATGGAAATGACTTAAAACTATTCTTAGAACACTATGCAAGCACATGTATCAAGCAACCCACACTGAGTCATTATCRGACCTGGCACCCTTGGTTTCATACCCTTATATTCTGTTTAAGCATTTTTCTGACTTTTCTAAGAGGCTGTAGGAAAAACAAATGAAAACTGAGCAGGCAGTTATAGCATGTAAATTCAAGGAACCTTTAATTTTTGGTCCAACCTTACAGAACATTTAATTACACTGCTGTAATGAAACCCAAGATTTGAATAGCAGCCACTTTCGTTTATCTTTCATTAATCTGCAGATCTTTAAAAGAAARCTTTGCTTTTTGTTGGGCAGTAGGTGCTGGGATAATTTCTGGTTTAGGTGGACTAGTTTCAGGTTGATACTTGTTGTCAGTCTCTCTGGACAGTAATCAACACTCCAAGTAGCTTCCAGAACATTAAGCAAACAAACAAAGTGATTTTTTTTTCTCTCTAGTGGAGTAGGAAGAAGTTTGTCATTCTGAATTTTCTATGTGCAGGCCTCAAACTTGGAGAGTACTCTGTCATTTAAACCATCCTGAAACCTCCATCCCTTCAGTCTGCAATTTGTTGTGTCTGTAGAAAATTMGTTATTATAAAATGTCTTTGAGAAAATCATTGGAAGCCAATGCAGACTCTGAAATGTCAGTGATTTATCATCAGTGAAAAAGTCAGGCTATTATAGTCTGCACTACCTTAATTTTTCAAATGATCCTAAAGTGGCGCCCATGTGGAGTGCAGGCAGCCATGCAGTCCCAAAGTAACAAAGGAAAATGATCATTGTAAGGTCCCTACATTGAAGAAGAAACCGACACAGATGGAAAGAATTTCTACAACAGCTGCTGTTTGATCTTCCAAATGTTGTTCTGGCTCTAATAAAACTAATTGTGAACCTGTATCACACACTGAGTATTCACTTAGAGTGGACAACATCCCTAGTCTTGATTTCTGCTTTTTTGTTCTAGCAGTTGTCACTCAATACATACTTACCTAGTCTCARCTTTCATTTTTAAAAAGTTCCTTTTCTGTCAACCACGGCACCTGATGTGCTGAAAACAAAGCAGCCCTGAGAACCAACTGCTGTCCATGTTTTCTCACTAAGCCTCATAAACATTAGCCTGAACAGCACCTGTTGGAACCCTTCGTGACTARAAGCACTAGAGAGGTTTCTGTAGAAAAAGGTTCTCTGTATCTCTGATTAATCTCTGATTAATTCTGTTTACAGACATCCCCATGAAACAGTAGAAGCAGCAGGGTCATTAGGCAGTTAATTGAGTGAAATCATCACGGACACTGATTCTAATCACAGATCTGACATAAGCCTCTACTTCAGACTATGCCTAAAACCCATCTGACTAAGACTTTAGAAACATGAGGTCACACACTTCTAGATCTGAGTGGTCACAGCTTTCTTCATGTCCTGTCTGAAACCCTAGCGTTTTAATACAGGTTTATAGTTGACARGATAGTTTGAGCCTTGCGTGCATGAACAAAAACCACATGGCAAATCCAAGCACAGTTGGTGCCCTGATGCCTTCTCAGRGGCTGTCAGCTGTGCTGTCCACAAGGTGTGTGTTCTTCCCTTGCTGTCTTTGCCACTGGGAGAGGATAACAGTGCAAGTCCTGCCATATTTTACCATTGTCTTACAAAATTTTAAGGAGTAAGGCTTGCTGAAATTCRACAAAACCAGTATTAATTTCCTTGAGTGACCGTTCTTGTGTTACATTCCAAGTAAGGGCTTTGTAGCCCAGAGTATCAGGGCTACACCTTATTAGTCCACCCAAAGCAGTTGGATCTAGTGGATGCCACAACAGTAGGGAGGTGGTTGTTGCTGGTTGATTTGCTTTTTTCCCCCCTCTTCTACACAATCTACCAAAGAGAAATCAGGTAATCRGAGTAAACCGAAGAGTTTTGCCAACAGTGCTCAGTCCAGTCTTTTCTGACTGTTTAATTAGATGACCTCATCTGAATTCGTTTTGTGCAGACAAATCTTGGTGACCTTTTTTTAAGCTTATCTTTTCACAGCATTATTGCACTGGTGGTACTAGATGAAAAGTAGGGTGGACGTTCTAACCGCCTGCTTTCCAGAATCTTGTAGGACTTGGATTTGAGACAGAGAGGACAGTGGCCTTTCTGCAGAGGAAATCTGCACCTTCAGCACACTGAGAATATTAATTTCATGGTGAAATCATGAAATCACTAAGGTAGTGTCTTGGCTGTTATTCAGCAAAATACGGTGAAATCACTGCATGTGATAAACAGGAGAATTGAGTTTGTTTACTGCCAAGATATTGAATATACTGAGATCTGTAACTGTGCTATTAGGAATTTTACAGAAAACTGTACAAAATATATCTTAGCAGTTGTCCAAGCTGACTGTTCAAGGTAAAGGAATGTAGGGTTGTGTACTGGTTTCAGCTGGTATAATTTTCTTCTTAGTAGCTGCTACACTGCTCTGGTTTGTATTTAGTRTGAGAATAWTRTTGATAACACWCTGATTTTTTTAGTTGTTGCCAAGTAGGGCTTACTCTAAATCAAGGACTTCTCAGTTTCCCWTGCTTAGCCAGTGAGCAGGTGCACAAGAAGCCAGGAGGGAGCAYAGYAAGGACAACTGACCTGATTTTTTAAAATGCCAATATTCATTTGAAAAGATTGCACTCCCGTGCTTTGGCAAAATTATTGTAAACCCTTAACAAAGTCCAAACTCCCTGTAACACAAAAGGTTTTGCATTTCATTTGATAACAGCTGCTAAATTTCATGACTTRRAGTTTTCACTTCAGTGTTTYGGGGATAATCARTGATTTTGKGTGGTATCTCACTGCCTCYCCTTTCCACACCTGGATGCTCACTMAGCCAGGGGAGCTTCTTTACAGCTCAGCGTACATTTGCACCAAATCTCTTGATAGTGAAAAAGAACACAGAGGGTTCTGATAGAGCTACCTCTTGTCTTGGGAACAAAAAGCTATAGCTAACAGGAATGAAAAGAGATCTAACTCTTCCTTTTGTTCTGAAAGAGCAGTGAAGTTTGAAGAAAATCAGTTTGAAAAAGCTGACATGAAAATGTAAGTCAGTCGCTACTGCAAGTTAAAGCATGGGCCAGTCTTAGCAGATCCTAAAATGGAACTGAARTTAACTTCAGTTTAGTTTGTGTGCCAGACTAAATTCAGGTATTGTAGCATTCCTTACATTTCTGAATAGATGGTAGTATATRTTGCTTCTCATTTAGAAGTGAGAAGTGCAAAAAAAAAGGTAATAGCACTTGTAGGTATAGTAAAAGCTAAGGTAGGTATTTTTCTGGATGTGTTTATCACTTCTCACAAATTCTTTATACTGAATATTATTTTGTTAATCTATTTTGATTATGTTTTTCTCTCTTTTCTGCTAAATTCCTCAGCTTATATTTTTCAGTTATAACCTACAAAAGCTTTTATATTGACTGCAAACAAAATTACAACACAGTCGTGACCTTAAAGTGGTTTTCCTATGTTTACACAAATATCAGTGGTGGCCTGAATACTGGAAACTCAGATTTGCATTTTCAAGTAAATGTATGCAGCCCACCTGTATTGCTGAGGCAGTCAGATAAATTACAGTCAGGAGTTCTGATGTGAAGCTTTTTTTTCTTAAATTTTATAGCTTTCTGTCCACAGATGATAGCACAATACATTAAAGGCTGTGCAGACACCTCTTCTGTGTGCCTTCAGCAAAAAATTTCATTTAATAGAAATCCAGACTTGCCTAGGCATGAAAATGCACAGTGAAAGCACAAAACCATTGTCTTTCATCTGCTGTGTAATAAAACTGTGAAATAATTATTATAATTGCATCATTCTGATATTTGTGAGCCCAGACTAAACTAATTTCAGAGGCATGGTTTTAATAATACATTTTGCCTTCTACAGTATTTCTAAATACAAAAWTGGTGCACTGTTAATATCAGGATTAAGATGTGTGGGGATTTTTTTTTTTCCTTTTCCAGCTGCAGCCACACAGGTCTTTTTAGTCTTGTTTTGTAAGTTAGATCCAATGAGGGACACCTGAGATCAGCACATACTTCAGAGCACTCTCCCATTCCCTCAGGGTAGTAGAGCGTCTCTGCAGCTGTAATATGGTTTCTACAGAGAATATTATCAGATGAAACAGGAGGTTTCACAGCCTGTAGTTAGCAGAAAGCATTTGTGAATTTCCCCACTAATGCTGTCCAATTCAAAGAAATGTTTTCAGCAGTTTTAATTCTATCATGGACTGGTATATTTTAATCCTATTCTTAAATAAGTGCAAGGATGATAAATGTTAGCAAGTATTAACTATAATAAACAGGATGGACTTATTTATTTACACTAATTATAATGACTTTCTGGAAGATAATCACGGAGTGGTTGAGATCAAAGTGACCTCTGGAGGTCATCTTGTTCAAGAGCTGTGCTCAAGCACCTAAAGCAAGTTGTCCAGGACTGTGTCCAGGTCTCTTCTGAATATTTCCAAGGACAGAGATTTTACAGCCTCACTGGGCATGTGTGTTCCCATACCCTGTCACACTCACATTGCATAATTTAATCAGAAATGTTTTGCAATTTCATCAGAAGTAAAATTGTTCACGCATTTGGATATTTGTTTGCTCAGAAGATGCCCAGTGAATGTGTCCATGCCCATGGTGGGGAGCTGGAACTAGATGATCTTTAATGTCCCTTTCAACCCAAACCTTTCTATGATTAACAAGACCCAGAGGAGCCAGGCAACATGAAATTTGTAGTTCAGCTGAGAAGGGGTGGTGGATTTAGTAACTAGAGAAATCATTCTTACTTTGATTGCTGAGTATTAGCAAGCTAGGAAAACAAACATAAGTGGGAGAAAATATGAGTGAGGCAGAAGAATACYGACCCASAMTTTTTAATTTGAAAGCATAAATGCTTCAAATACTTCAATAGCAAATCATGGCTATACTCAAGCAAAGGATGTCCTTTTCTGAGACAATTCAGTGCCTAAGTATTTTYCTCAATCAGAATGTAAATGTTTGCAAGATCTGTGCCTACAAAGTCTTTCACTTTATAAAGTACAGATATTCCCAGCTTTAGCTGAAGTGGCATGAGATTTTGGTTAATGTGCTGATAAGTAGCAGACTGATAATATCATAATAATTTAATTTCTGGAAAATTAACAAGTTAGAGTCATCCTTATGAGTAAAACACGGGGAAAACAGTAAAAAAAAAAGTATTATGCTAATTCATAAAATGCATGTGAATTATGTAAATCTCTCTTCAGACCTATGTTACACATTGTTTATTAAAGTAATGACATCATAATCTCTTGAATTTGACTGAGAAAGCTTAAATCCTTGCCAGCATCTTTAGCTGCCTAAACAATGAAGGAAACATGGTCTGTTGGAGATGGGGTAAAGGGTGAGGGAAGAACAAACACTAAACCTACATAYATTCATTCTTTCTTTTTCCATTTCTCTTTCTTCCCAGAATGTTACACRGCAAATGGGGCTGACTACCGTGGCACTCAGAACCAGACCTCCCAAAATGCAGGGAAACCTTGTCTTTTTTGGAATGAGACGTTTGAGCATCCTTATAATACTGTGAAATATCCCAATGGRGAGGGAGGGCTTGGAGAGCACAACTACTGCAGGTAAGAAATATCACATTACTCCTGACATGGCCTGTATTCCCAGTGTTATTTTAAGCAGTTGGCAGAAAATTAGGAAACTTCCTGTCATGAAATGAAGAATGTCAGAACTGTGGGTATCTAACACATTTTGGTTTATCCTGTAATCAGTAGTCTGGATCTACAGGCACCATTATATATAAGGTGGCATGACAGAAAGATACATTACTTAATGAAATATAGATTACTTAATGAAATATAGATTACTTAAATGAAAAGGTGGAAATAAAGAAATTGATCCAAATCAGAAGTACAGCAGTGCAGCGCGTGTCTGGAGGAGTCTCTGGATGGTTTTTATCCTCACACACAAGCTTGGTTCTGCTATACACTCTGTTTCCAAGTTTTGTGCTAATGAAACTAAAATGTAGTCACTAAAAATTCTGAGTGAGCATCAGTGAGTTASAGTTATTTGAATTCAGAAGCTCATCTGTCAGGGGTTACAATATCAGCTTAAACCATGGCAGAGGCACTTCTGTTTCCTTGCCTTCTAGAGAAGTCTTCCATAACTATGGGTAGAACTTAAATAAGAACTTCAAAATTTAGAAGCCAAATCAGAAATAACATTCAGAGACTTTTAAGCTCTGCAGGCTTTTTTTACGCTTTGTGTCTCAGTTGTCATACTAATACAGAGCTATGAAAATACAGTGGCCACTGAATTCTCTCTGATACAAATCACAGAATCAAGAATGTAATTTTGATTGTTGCTTTRTGGCAATATTCTAGACAGACTGTATCTACAGGATCTTACTTTTGGCAGTCATCTCTGGCTAATATTTTGGTTTGTACAAAGCAAAACATGTACAAGCTSTGCAAAAACATGCATAAGAAACTGAATGTTTATCCAGATACTCAAAAAACACTCACTTGAGTCTTGCTTTACTTAGCAAATGAGAATTTGGTTAAGTGTTACAAGGAGCAGGAATCCTATAATCTGATATGCAAACCTAAGAAATTACTTAATTATCAAATAGAGCTTTTTTTACCTCAGTCTGCTAGGTATTAGATTATTCTCTTTGAAATGGAGTTTAACTGGTTAGCTATTTTCTCCCTTATGCTGTATGACTTGGCCTGGGAATATCCTCACAGGTGTATGGCAGTCCTAACTAACAGATGACTTTTAACTTCACATTCTCTTRTAAGAAAGTTTGAAAGTCACTAAGAGTGCCAGAGTATATCTTTAGCCTGCAAATGTTGCTGAGGCCTGTGATACAGCTGTTTTAGCTCTTTCTCTGACATTGATCTGCTTGGTGACAATGGACAAGTTGATCTTCCCTTTTTGCAGGCAGCACATACCTCACAAGGCTTTTTTAAGGCATAATACATTGCTTTGAGATTTGATTTTAGAGACAGCATTTGAATAATCTAATTTTACACTTGAAGGAAGTATTAATCAGCAGCAKGTTACCTCTCCATGGGTGGTCCTTATTTGGAATACTTTGTTTACTCCAAAACACCCTGTTAAGATGGAAATGCTTCTTAACGTTCCACTCATTTCAACCATAACAAAATTATGAAGACTGAAGTTTTTGGAGATTTTGAAAGACAGAGAGTTGTTTTCTAACTGCATGCACTTCAGAGRTTCAAGACAAAGATTTCTAAGGACATTCATCATATTTCCCTACAATTTCCTYGCATTTTAAGGCATTTATATGTAGAGTGCCATTATCATGATTCAATTCCAGACATATGGTGTCTGTCATGAAGATGTAAACGCAAAAATTCCTGTCACTGTGGTAAGAAGGGAAGATGGGTTAGTTCTARTACAAACTTTACTTGGTTTTAGTCTTCTACTTTCTTTAGCTACTGGAAGCTCTTGCATTACACCTAAATTCCTAGCATGCTGGTCTTAGACTTTCCTTGTTCATTACTCTACTAAYCCATTTGAAAGCCTAACTAGCAACATTTTAGTCATCTAAACAGAACTCAACTCACCAGCTGTTTTCAGCAGTCTGTTATTTGACCAAAAAACATCCACAGAATTTCTAAAATTGGATCTCCCACAAAAGAGTYCTTAATATCCATAAATGACAACATGCAGCTGAACTGACACTTCAGCAGGGGTATGTCATTAATAGAATTCATGCCAAAGTAAAAGATAAAAAGRTTGTAACTGGACCTAGTTAAAAGAAAAGGTCATATTTCAACCTGACTGTCCAAAATAACAATTTGTTCTCTTAAATAGATCTTAACAATGTGAATAGTTTTTTCAAAGTGTACATGGAGAAAACTTTAAATAACCTAATGACTAATKAGGTATGCATTTGTAAGTGATGCTGCACAACAGCAAATAATTATAAAAGTAAAGATCATCATCTTCATGGACACATAAGGAATTATCCATCGATATAAAGAGATCACTGGAATGGATTTAGTCAGTTTTATTGAAGRGGAAGAAAATAACTCAGTGTTTCTCAGAAGACTTTATCAGCTAAGTGTCTTTATCACCACATATACAGAAAATTGGGAGTCTGGACTATTTTGTACCAAAACAAAGTCAAGTTTATGAGTCTATGGAACCTGTACACAGGATGTGGGACAGAAAATCTTCCTCCCTGACAGGACTGACCAGAAATAGCTCTGCACCTTTTAAGCTTAGAGTTAAAAAAAAAAAATTACATTTTAGACATCACTAGCATCTTATGTTTGATGTATAAACTATAATAACGAAAGCTATCTGAACTTTCATAATGCAAAACTTGGCATTTTTCTTGGTATGTAAGTTCAAAAGGAGGTAATAGCGGAGAAAAAGTAATGCCATTGAAGCTTAATAAGATTGATCTTTTTGGTGGTTTTTTGAAAAAAAATCCTCAAATTTTGCTGACTGCTTTTCTCTTTCAGAAACCCTGATGGGGATGTCAGCCCATGGTGTTATATTGCAGAACACGAAGATGGAATATAYTGGAAATACTGCGAGATTCCATCCTGCCGAAGTAAGAGCAACATTCAATTTTTTTAGGTCTACGTCTCTGTTGAACAGAGATTGGCAGTTATGCAACAGTGGGTAGTGATTTCCAAACAGAAACTAGGATAAGGCAAAACAGCTTATTTTCAATTGCAGACTAAGTTATATTTTAAATGTATTTTTTAGACAAGTTGCTGAATTGTTCTTCTCTTGCTATCCTTTTCATCTTATTCAGAATTACTGGATTATATTATTTGCAAATAATACTATGTGACAGGGAATCACACAAAACTTATGAAGTACTGCTAGTTCTTTGAATCCATAGAAACACATCATTCATGTATTAAAATCTAGAGGACAAAAAAGAAAAGGGAAGTTTTTACAAGGTATATAYGTGTCCATCAATTGCAATTAGCTCATAAAATGGAATTATATTAGTTCAGTGTATATAGCTCATTTTACACAGAGTTGTTTGGAGAAAACAAAAAGGATATGAGAGGACATAGGGAAAAGGTGTCTGTGTGGTATATGGGAACTCTGGGCTAGAATTCTGTCTCTGGCAGGTGCAGATACTCAGCATTGCTGTGAAATGTGGACTTTGTTTGCTTTTTAAAAAATCAGATAATTCACAAGGTATTCACCTGAAGCTTCTTTCCAGAATTTAATATTTTTTCATGCATTATTTTTAACAGTGTTCAAAATGTCATGATTTGTGTCATTATGTTCCAAAATTTTCTTTCCCAAATCACAYTCTTTAGAATATGCCTAAATATTAAGAAGATATTCTAGTTTTGCATGTTGACAAGCAACCATAGCTATACATTTCAGTAAGTCTAATCATTAATGGCTTCACCTGCTTTCCTGACTCCTTCTGTGCAAGTACCCTCTGTTTCTAAGGCATAACTTCAGTCTTCCCTGTTAAGCACCAGAGCAGGTGTCCACATGTAGGCACACATTCAATTGGAAGAAGTAAGTTTCTTAGTTAAAAAAAAAAAAAAACCAGACAAGAAAAATTGATCTAAAGTGATTTTTTTACATTGTTCATAGTTTTCTTTTATTTTTTGGAGTTTTTTTATGAATGTGAGGCATTCACATCTTCAAGATGGGCAAACAAATACGTGTGACCTTGAGAGAGATGCGTTTACCTAAGCTTAAATGCAGATTAAGGGGTCTAATTTAAATAACACAAAATCATTCAACACTCTTATACTTATTGTTCTGAGGATGTCTTATTCTTATTTTTCTAATATACCAGGCACAATTTAAGAAACTTGACCTTCCTAATTAAGAAATTTAACTTGGTCTAAAATGAAAGAATTTGCATTTTCTTTAAAGACCACAGATGTTAACAAATTATCTGGATATGGCACCAGGAAAAAAGCTGAAAGGCAAATTCTCTCCACTCCATTTGTTCCACACAAAGGATCCTTTTAAAACCAGCCTCGCTCATTTTCTCTGTGGTGGGGAGCAGAGGATTTAAACTTGGACACTTACTTGCACAGATAATCCAGACTTATATTTACAAAATGTCCTTTTGACCAGTAGCAGCTGCTTCAAGCATTGCACTGAAACTCGATACTAGAAAAAGGAATTGCAGCAATTTTGAGTAAACTGTACACTGCAARCCCATCCAAATCTTAATACAAACCTCATGGTTTATGAAGCTGTGTTAAGTAAAAAAACCTTTTATTCTTCACCAGACTTTCTGTWTTCAGTAAGCATGATGCTAAGTCACAGGACCATCAAAACTATCCTGTGAAATACACAATACAAAACTTGAGTTCTGTGACAGAGCAAGAAAGCAATTGTGTACAAAAATACTATTTGAACATTTTTAGAGAGGTGTTTCTTATAAGCTTCTATTTGTTAGTGATATTTACTAGTGGAAAAGTATCTGGAGCATAAGTTACCTATTAACTATGCCCACATAACACCATGGCAATGCCAACAACATGAAGCATCTTGATTGCCTAGAAAGATTTGCATGCAATGACTCATCGTAACAATAATTAAAATCTACAGTTAAGAAGTTTTCATTATGCTGGTGAATTCACATGATTATATCATGTGTCTCATCCACTAATATTTACACAGAACACTAAATGGTTCAGTCAGGAATGTGTTCTGATATTCTGTGTATGTAAATATGCAGTAGATTTACAGTTAGCATCTGAGAATTTAGCAGTGTTAGATGAAGGTGGATGAGCACAATCACAGAAGACTTTGGTAGTTACTCCAGTAGGAACTTCATATTTCCATTTCTTCCTCTCCTCTTCTTCTTTATGTCTGCTAAGCAGACAGAATGGACATAAACAAAACAAAAGGAAAAACGGCAGCTCTRAGTCCTGAGAGAACATGTGTGTCTCACATGGAGAATTCAGAACCAAATGCTTCAGATGGTTTGTTTGCAATGTTGCAGCTATTCCTGATTTTTTTGGTCTCCTTGTTAATGAGGTTAGGTTTAAGTTCAAAGGAAATAGCAACTTACACTCCCAAAATGTGAAAGAAAGAAAGAGTTTGCTATACCACTTAATTACATCTTCATGTTTATGACTCACATGGCTCTCTCCCCATAAACAGATTTCATTACTGGAATCATATTTCCAGTGTGCATGTATGTAATGTAATAACTTTGACTGAAATARCAATGGAAATGGTAAATGGCAGAGCCAGGTAAATTCTACAGAGCTTTATGGAACACAAGAACAAGGACAGCTCAAACAATTTGTGCATGCTACCACTGCAAAAACCTGGAGGCTCATGAAAGACAGCTGGATGAGCATAGCTGGAACCTGGTTTTAAGCTAAAAACTATTAATTCCACATTTTAATACATCCAATACGTGCCTTAACATGTAAACTKCAGAAGCTGTGGTGTTTGCCAGGACCTCATTATGTCAAATGCTGCCTAAAAGAAAAATAATACGCTTTTGCAAAAGAGGTGACCTTTTAAGCAAGGGAGGACAAATAGATACAAATGTGTGAAGACAGTGTAATAGTGAAACATCACTGGTCAGCATGAGCAATAATCACAGAACACTGACCACCTCATTTTTGCCAAGTTTCTTCAGGCTAAATATTAAAAGCAAAGAAGGTTAAAATGCTGCTGGGACACCAAAGAGACTAATTCGTTTTAGGATGTACACTTGATTTAGTTACAAAATATAAGAAGTWTTCAAATTACTTGGACAGGTTTCTTAGCACGGAATATATTGAAGTACTAACCCCCTGGAGCCAAGGTTGAAAGGTCTCACTAATAAAGCTACATTAAAAAAAAATCAAAATCCCAGGTGTCTTAGGAAAATGAGCAACGGTGGATAACTAGGAAGCTTTTTCAAGGCAGTGAAATTATGCACTCTGCAAAAAGAATGAGCTCTCAGAGTTATCTACCCAGCTGTACTCAGCTGGGGTGGGGCTGCGAATGGGGATTTCCAAAGGTATGTTAAATCAGGCTGTAACTTGAAGTCTCAGTACTAATATGAATGTTGCTGCAGGGCATATCAAAGCCATAACTCCGTGCAAATATTTTTGATTGAAATTGTATCATTCTTAGAAAACAAAATTAATTTAGGAACAATATTTGAAGCAACTTTATGTCATTACTCATAATAAGTTTACTGAGTACTGCAATAACCAGTGACTGCATAAATAAAACACTCATACAGAGATCTCTGACCACATCCYTTCGTACAGAGCTGTGGCAGTTTGGTGGACAAAAAAGAATCCTTGTCAGTCTGGCACAAGAATAAAACTTAGCACAGAGCTGGTAACAGATTTAATTTCAAGTATGTGAGCAGATATGACAAGTGGGCAAGGRATAATTTTATGCCATTGGCACAGCTCTGTATTGTACTCCACATCCTCTCTGGGGGGCGGTCATGGCTAAATTCCAGTKCTTTGATGAAAAGTGCAAAACCAAACAAAAAAAGAGGACAAATTATGCACTGAAGGGGGAAAACTGATCTCCCATAGTGACCAAGGAGCCTTGAAACATCATATTAATCTAAATAGATGGGGTTTTTTAAAGTAACATTGCACATTTTTAATGTCTTTGTATGATACTTCAGGTTCAAATCAGAATTCAAGTTTTAAATATTAGGAAATTCCCCTATATAAGTATATAGTCCCTCCCATAAAACTCGTCAAACTCTATCCTAAAACAGTTTCAGTTCCCTTCCTCAAATATCCTGTTTCGAAAACTTCCAGAATGTCATTGTTTTGAGGATCAGACAGAAATCACATAGTTTTATTTACATTTTCAGAATATGCACGTCCATAGTAAAGAAACCACAAGCTCCTTGAACCCACTTCATGCTTTGGGTTTTTTTTAATTGCCTCTGTAAGGAAAAATGACATCCTGTCTGTTTTACTGCAGCTTTCTGAAGCCAGCTAGRGAGTATTACAGGTACATTGCTGAGAAGATAAAATACTCTTTTGCCCAGTCACTCATGCCTGGGTATATTTGGAAAACATGACAGGAACCATATAGAGTATGAGTAATGTATAGAATAACATTTCCCATACTGCAAAATCAGGACCAGAACATAGAGAGAGCTGCCTGGTACTCAGGTAGTGCATGAAGTGGTCTGTGTTTTGGATGTTCACAGGACACCTTTAGAATGACTGTTGTGTGTTACTCTTGCCAGTGCCAGGAAATCTGGGGTGTTACAAGGACCATGGAGAGCCCCCACCTTTGACTGGCACCAGTGAGACCTCCAATAAACTGACAATCCAAACGTGCATCAGTTCTTGCCGGAGTCAACAATTTAAGGTGATTCCTTTGATGTRCACTTACAAAACCTTCTCAGAGACAAAAATGGCAATATGCCATTTCTCCCGTTCTCCATTTTTTTTTTAACCTTTGGGAGGTCTAAGATTGCACTTCCAYTCCAGAAGATCTAGCCCTCTCTCTGCATCCAGAGCAATCTGGACAAATGGCTAATGAATGATGCCAGGAGAAAATATGCTTGCTTACTGCAGTTGTGAGTGTCGGGGTKACCTCCATTCCATCCTTCTCCCCAGTCTTAAGTAGCATCCTGACAGTTCAAACAAAAATATCCTGTGGTGGTTCCTCTGAATAATCATACTTCTCCAAAACACACAAATCCTGCTGCCAGCTTTCTTGTTCAAACAACCTCCTGCTGTCACTCCTTCAAATCCTCCCTTCCTTATGCATCTTTGTTGTCAAAGTTTGCAGGCATGGAATCAGGTTATGCTTGTTTCTGTGGAAATAATCCTGACTACTGGAGATACGGGGAGGCAGCCAGTACGGAATGCAACAGTGTTTGCTTTGGAGACCATACTCAGCCCTGCGGTGGGGACGGCAGAGTCATCCTTTTTGACAGTAAGTATTGAAGCAGCCTCAGTTTTTCCCAAAGGAGAGGCCTCACATGTTCAGCAAATTAGAGAAAAGGCTCAAAAACAATGAGAACTGTTGCACACCAAACAGCAAAACATCTCCGTTCAGTATAAAATAAAGCTGCTTTCCATTTCTGCATAAAATTCTCATCCATTAATAGTATGATWTAGCCCTTCCAAGAAATGATGCTTGCTCATGCTCCAGAAGTTCTCTTATTTCCCTCTCAAGTGGTGCTAAGTCAGCTGTCAGAAGCAGCMTGTCACAGAAAGGCTCCCTAAGAAYTGATCTTACTACAGAGTAAAAAATTATATGTGCATGTATGGATATGCACTGTCAGCTGGCTGGCATTTGAGTTTGCTCTCTGGATTCACTGGTATTTAATTCTGCAGGGATTCAGGAAAGGGCACATGGTTACACACAAGGACAAGGGATAGTTGTAATATTCATGATTGATGCAGGTGTCAGAGTAATGAGACACAGTGAGAGTGTTCTGAGCAAATGCAATGCCATGGCTGTGCTGCCAGTGCTGGGGAAGGCAAAGAACACCAAATATTTAAGTATTTAAGTATTAGAATCTAAAGGGTGCTAAAGCTTAGCAAAATTAATGTATGATTTCTTTTTTTTTCCCATATTTCCCCCTTTCCTTTTGTTTTCACAGCCCTTATTGGAGCCTGTGGAGGGAATTACACTTCTGCTACAGCTGTYATCTATTCCCCAGATTTTCCTGACACATACGGCACAGGCAAAGTCTGTTATTGGACCATACAAGTTCCAGGAGCATCTCAAATCCACTTCAGCTTTGCTCTTTTTGAAATCAAGGATGCCACAGATATGGTGGAATTGCTGGATGGCTACACCTATCATGTTCTAGCTCGTTTTAATGGCAAGAACCGGCCTCCCCACTCCTTTAACATCTCTTTGGATTTTGTCATTTTGTACTTTTTCTCAGATGACATCAATCAAGCCCAGGGATTTGCTATCAGGTATAGAGGTAAGAGGCTACATCTGCTGTTTCTACCTTTCAGTGAAGCATTTAATTCACACAGGGGATTTCTGAAGTGGCAATTGAAGTACAAATATTTTAACTCTGATCTAACAGGTGTTTTTATCTCTCTTGTTGCCATTACTCAGTGGGTGAAAGCTTCACCAAAATTTCTCTCTGCTACATCATAAATAGCAAAATAGAGATTTTCAAAAATTCAGTTCTATGGCTGCCTGTCAAAACAGACTGTGAAGTTACAAAAGGAAACAAAACAAAAAACCAGTCATCCATGTGTGTGTTGGTTCAGCTCCTTCCAACAGTATATTCCTCCTCAATCAAAAGTCGTTAGGAGAAAATGTTTTGGTCCTTGAGTTGTACCTACTGTTAYGATGAACAATTAGCTTCCAGAAAAATTCTGAGAACCTCAACCTGGTGAAGTACAGGCTTTCTCTGGAATCAGATATAATTTGATTATTTGAGTTCTCTTAAGTGAACCAGAGAGCAGCATGTCTGTTTACAAGGCAAAATAAAGCCCAGTTACACCTGTTAAGAAGTTGTTATTGTAATTATACTCCTGTGTTTTCAGCTGTGAAGGACAATGTGCATCAAAACAAGATTCCAGCAAATCACACCCTTCCAGAGAGGATAAATGAACARGCAAATCTCAGCATGAATGCAGCCCGGTCATCGAAGATACTCTATGTCATCACAACCAGCCCAAGCCATCCCACTAGCTCCATGCCTGGTAATGAYACAATAATATGTGGAAATGGGAAAAATGCTTTGCCAAAGCAAAATCTGGAGTCACTATTTCCTTTGCTGCCTYCTCCACATTATCTGATTCACTGAGCATCTTACTAACAGATGAATTTTCATTCAGTCTAATTAGCATTAACCGTGATTCATTAAATTTCAAAACACTCCTCAGTGTAAGTCAGAAAGTGTGAAGATGGTGAGTTCTTGAGAATGAAAGCACATCAAAATATGTGAGTCAGAGCAGCCTCTACTAAAATCAGCCTCAGGGACCACTGTATGCCACAGTAGGGCACAAGTTGCTGAAAAAAGAGCAAACTTYAGAGTCTAGAACAGCTTGAATGCTGGATGCATCCCTGTTACCCCAATTAACAAAAGCTCCATCAATAATACAGAGAACYAGACAAATTAATGGCTGTAGGGGAGGTGTCACTGAGAGCTGCCATGTGTCCAGAACTCACCTTCAAGACATCCCTTAATTCAGGAAATTACTGAGTTGTAAATAATTRAAGGCTGGAAATGCACTCTTGGCCCAGCCTGATGCCTGATTTACCACAGCTACATTTGAACTGCCTTAACTGCCTCAGAAACACCAATGGGAACTGCACTCTTGCATTTTAGGCAGTTGCAGAAATCCTGTTCAAATAATMCTCTACAGTCAATGCTTTGAGGAAGGGGCAGTGGGTGGAAGGAAACTTTTTCCTTTTTTTGCTCTCCTGAGCTTCAGGACTTCTGATGGCRATGGCAGTGACCTTTACTCAGCTGTTCAAGGTCTTGGCAAGGTTRTTTTTTTCCCCATGCTGTCAGTTACATTTTAGTGCCATCCTTCTTCCCATCTCAATATGCTGTAGACTCCCACTGCAAGATCATGTGAGCCCCAATGAAAAGGTAATCTAAAAATTTAGAAATTGGCTTACTCACATAACTACGTAACTACTGATACAAAACTAGACCATCTCCTTTGCAATTGCAAGAGTTACTGCTACTGGGAGCATGTATTCTAGCCTGCTTTTCAATTTTCTTCTGAGTGAGTTTTGATTCCTTTCCTAGATAATTTTACTGGTATACATTTTGAATTCTGCCAGCTTTCAGTTCTATTGGGAGGAGTCCTGCAAGGGAAAAACCGGTTCTGACTGAAAGTTGCACAGTTTCTGCCAGTCTGCAGAAAACACTTGTAGGTTTTAAGGCATCATCAAGTTACAGATTTGAATAAAACATCAGAAGGCTRGTTGTTTCTTTTGTGCACTATTCTTACTATAAAAGCTGTAAATACAGGAGGCTGTTTGTTTCTTTTGTGCARTRTTYTTACTGTAAAAACTGTAAATAAATKAATGTACTGAGAGCTCCCCCTCTTYTTCTCTTTTGCAGAGTGGACAATATATAGCCTGACAGCACTGCTCATCCTAAGTGTTACAGCCATAATAGCAAAGATACTTCTCCACATTACCATGAGGTGAGTATGGAGCAAAACCAACACAGAAAACCAAGATCTCAGCCCTGGCCCAAACCTGGGGCTCTTCTCTTTCTTCCAATAGATTGGGCACATTTAAAACCAAGTTATTACATATTTGTATCCTCATAATAGTTCCTAAATAAGAACGTTTGTTAACTTCCCAGCATAGCATTTGTTGCTAGAATATCTCTCCTGCTCTTCATTTGACTAGATTTGTATTTTAAGGAGGAAGAAGGAAAGAGGGAAATATTATCAGACATCCAGATTTGCTAGAAGAGGTCAAATTCTGATATTTTGCAGGGAGAAAATATAAACTGCTACATTCACACCAAGTAAATTTTGTGTCCTCTAGATGGACRCTCATTGAATGAAATGATGGGTGAGTTATCAGCAAATCAAAATGCTAAATATTGTATTTAYGTACTACAAACGTGCTTAAATATACAAGGAAATTAATTTGTATTAAAAACAACTACAATAATAACAACTACGGTCTGTAGAGCCCTCTTAGCTTAATGTCACTGCTGYCATTAGGGTGGCAGCAGAATACCTAACTTCTCATTTGGTCAAGACAACCAAAAAAGGGCTCCAAAAACCTACATTTTGAGCAGCAGTTGAAAGAAAAAATGTCACAGATGTAATGGAAGCTGCGAGCACTCCCAGTGTAGAAGTTCTGCAGACATACTAATAACAGCTACCCAAGCATGTTAACACAAGGTGAATTAATTCWTGTTTCCTAGGTCACATCAGATTCCAGCTGCAACTGAAACAGAAGATTGCAGTGATGTTACTACTGCTGGTGAGATCTGGAGTATATTTTACCAACCATCCACATCAATATCCATCTTCAAGAAAAAGCTGCGAAATCAGCAAGATGATTGCAACCCACTAGTGGGAAACTGAAGAGTCTTTTATTTTGCAAGAATTCATCTTTTTAAAATCCAGGTGACTTGAGATTAATCTTCCTTTTTTTTTCTCTCCCAATTTCATACCTTTTTTCCAAAAAGTCCATTTCCAAAGGCCTTTGAGTGACTTTGCCTATCTGCTGTTCTCTTGGGCATACTAGTGACAACGGATTTAATTCTGAAATATCTGGTGCTGTTAATTACTGCCTTTAAACTATTGCACTTAAAATAGATGTAAAACCTTGTAGAATTCAAAATGTCCTGTTCCCCTGCCAAAGCTAACTGAAGGGGTATCTACAGCTTTAGGACTTTTGTGTCCCACTTGGCTGTACCCTGTATTGTGTCAGGCAGCTTTAGTCCTTTTATTCTCAAGGCTGGAGGCAGAGGTGGGTATTGATAACCACCACAGCAAACAGAGCTTATCTGCCATCTGAATGGAACTGTACAGCAAAATGGGAATCAAAGACTTGGAAAAAYGATCAGCCTGGTTGCTCAGCTCTTCCTGCATTTTCTGTTTCTGTGTCTGCAAGCAGAGATGCACAAATCAAAGTCAAATCAAATTCAGGAGGCACTTCTGAACAAGTTTCAGCAGCAAATATGCATTTTGATTGACTAATGCTCAGCAGGTCAGGGCCTGCATGAACATTGAAGCTTTTTAAATGACTGTGTCTGACCCATYGCTCACTGATGTTTATGATAATTCTGTTCATCCTCACAGTGATCCTTTAAAAAACTCGTACTCCAGCCTGACATCCAGCATTCATTCTGGGTGTAAGCTGAGGGCTTCTTAAAGCATTGTCCAAAGATACTGTAATCCACTGAATTTTTAAAAAGCGAGGCTGACTAATGAATTTTTACTCTGAAGTCACATGCATTAATCTCAGCAGCCTAAACTGTTTACAGAGTTGCAGGCTGCCATCACCAACTCCCCTGTGCCAGGCTGGGCAGCTGAACAGGGAAYAGCTGCCTTGATACTCACCTGGGAGAAGTGGCTCCTTGCCTGCAACATTAAAACTGAACTGAATTTTTAAGATAATTGCCTTAATTGCCAAAGAACTAAAACATCAGTGGGGTTCGATCTGTGACCTATTTTCTCTTTGATTGCAACAGAGAGCTTTAATTATTTCTTCTCTTTGGTAGACTAAGTGTCCATCCACAATACTCAGATTTCTTACCCCACAACAAGTGGGAAACAAGTGATTCCAAGGGATCAACAGTGAACCTTTCAGCCTCAGCAAGTTCAGACCAGCAAAACATTTAGGAAAAACTGTCAATGCAGAAGTCAGATGAATTGACTGGTGAAGTTTACAGCGGGCAGCTCCTCAAACTCAGTTAGAGGAAATTCAGAGAACCATTAAACGACAATAATTCTGGTTAAGTTTAAACATATTTCAATGGTCTGCATATACCAGATGTGCAGYTGGAGAATCTATTAAGTGCATCTGCAGAAGGTAACTAAGAAAGAAAATTGTCACTGAGTTTAAATTCATTCTAGTATCTGCCTTTATGTTTTCTAACATAAAACTCCCTACCCTACATGAGGACTACAGATTTCCTTGAAAAAACAGGGCATGGAAGAATTTGGCAGTGATATATTGTGCCTAACTTCCCATTGTGGATCTAGTGTTTTACCTGAGGTGAATTCAGTCCAGCTCCATTTATATACCACAGATGCGTGCTAGAGACAGCTGAACAATATTACCATCATGCTTACAAGAAACTAGACTTTACTAAGCCAGCAATTATGGAATTGTTTATATGAAACATGGAATAGCATGGGAACATCTTGTACTTTCTTGCATGAACTGCTGGAAAGAATACAGGAAAATATAATTACAGTATTAGCTAAAACGAAGACAGGACAAGCTGTAAAAAATACGCTGGTTCTCTCTTACGTGTCACCATGTTAGACCAAAACCCATTGTCTACTTCAGACCCAACAAAAGTTCTTAAACTGCCTTTTTTTTAAAGTGAGGTTTTGCATCATGCTGTGTGGAGAAAGAGTTCACCTCACAGATTCATAGCAAAACAAAATAGGTTGGTTCCTAAGCATCCTTAATATGGTGCACTAATAGGAAACAAGGCAGAGAGAATCACAGTGTGGCCCCAGATCTTTAAGAGTTGTTATGAGCACATTGTGATTAGCACTAAGTGTTTCTTGCCTTATCAAAAGCAAGTTGAATATACTGTCAGAGAGACTCATAAAGCAGTTAGCTAAAGGTGATAAACTGAAAAAATATCAGGGACACCCTGTGACTGATTTACACCTACTGCAGAGGGAAAAACTACAGAACTGTTAAGSTTCTCTTCCTTAGTAAAGAATCTAATTTCACTATGAGAAAAAATCTCATTACGAACAACAACAAAGACTGACACCACTAATGCAAAATTTGGAGAATTTATTCAGAACTGAGATTTTTGCATCAGTCCCTTAGGACCTCAACTATTGTTCAAGTAAAATTGTATTTCATGGGACTTTCATAGGGAATGTTTATAAAATTCCTGTACAAAAGACCCATAAAACCAGTACTTACAGCAGATTAACTGATCATGGCAACAGTAAACATAAGATATTAGAGTGTGCATGGGTAACACACTGATGAAAGCATAAGAGGRGATTACGCTCCCCTCTCTAAATCATTTAGATTGTCTGATTTCAGATACTTCTAGTGCTAGCAAACAGAGCAAGAGATGAAAATTCATGGATGGAGTCCCTTACATAGCACTTAAGATTTTACAGGGCTGAGACCATGAAGAGCTCTCCGTGTGGATTTTTTCAAAATGTGGTATGGTCACTCACACTCCTAGTACAAACACTTCAGAGTGTGGTGATTTATGGCCAAGATGTATGATATCCATTAACATAGCATGTTTTCATCTTTGCTGTAAGGGTTTGGGGGAGGAAGAAGCAAGAAGTGTGACATGCACAACTGTTGTAATCCCACATGATGCAGCATAAAGAAATGCCCCAACTACACAGCCAGCTGAGAGCTGACAGCTGGGGAGCAGGGACACCTCAGGATGTTGGTGTTCACACCATTTTCTTCAACTAATTGAAATTAACTGCCAAAGAAAAGTTTGTTTGGAATTGTATCTGAATGGCCTTCTGAGCTCCTGCCTAGCAGGGCCCTCAGCAGGYTGGACAGGCTGCAAATGTGACATTGCTACAATGTCAACAGCAACTGTTCTGACAACCAAATCACCATGAGGAGCTGCCTCATTTCAGCTCCTGCCATAGCCCTCTCCTCCCTCTTGTGTTGGTATGACCAGCTGTGTAGTGGTGCAATAAACTGATCAGGTCAAAAATTGCCATGGCTTTTTCTTCCCTGAGTTCCTTTTTCCAGAGCTGAGCTCTCTGATCTCGCTCATTGGGTGGTTGCACAGAGAGATGAGCTGAGAGCTCGTCTGAGTCCACAGCTAAGCAGGCAATAAGCCACAGGACAAAGTTGTGTGCCCAGAAGTTGGGGCAGTAAGAACTTCTGTGAGCCTGCTGCCTTTACACAACACACCAGCTCCAGCAGCCTACACTGTGTGTGGACCTCAGGAGGAAAGGGGCCAGCTGGACAAGTGCCTTCTCTCATTCAAAATCTACATTTAAACCTAGTTTAGTTTGTTGACTACATGATTTTATATGTATTTTTGTCTTAATATTGTTACGTTGTGGGAAAATAGAGACTGTGTTATGTAAAAATGTGTGATGTGTTATCATAGTAATATATATATTTGTATCTGTATAGGAAATGCATTATTTAATACAGCATATTATGCTTGCATCTTGCTAACATTTTATAGGAAGATGTTAGTTTACACTCTGGGAAAAATAAATTTTCTATACACTGTAACCACAGAGGAAAAAAATCAAAGATACTTCTTTGGTGTATATATATGATAGAAGGACATTGGGAATAGGGTAACTCAGACTCAGTTTTGCGACAGAGTAGATGCTGATAAAACAATTGCTATAAGAAACACTTTCCTCCTTTCAATCTCATTTCTAGCTTGTAATTGTATTAGGCTGTTCATCAGATTCTGCAAATTCATGTGCACATACTCTCTGGATGATTTTTTCCATCAAACATGTAATCTGCTTTTTCAATCAAGCATTAGCATAATCTTCTTTAGGACTTGTTTCTGCCAGATTTTCTACAGCCAGGACAATGCTGAGGAAGTTTATCACATTGTTCATGCACACAACCCAGTGGGATTGCAGAATTGAAGTCCATGTATTCCAACACCCAAAGCAAKATTATAAACAGGAGATTTTTATGGACAGTCCTGGAAACTGCACTGAATCTGCAGCCTSTATGACCACAGGCCAAACACATCAGCAGACACACGGCTGCCACTGAATGAGCATTAGTAGCTATTCCACTTTCATCTTCTGCTTAATAAACCTTCTCAGGCAGTGGGAAGGAACAGATTTTTCTAGTGCACCACTCTGCCTAAAGGAAGGGTGAACTACAAAAACAACCCCTGACAAAAACTTGTCCAACTAGTTCTTACTACCTTACAGCAGTATTTCACAATCTTCCAATGAAATACATTTCACTGACAGTTTCACCTGAATATTGTTCTAGACATTTATGAAAAATTCTGCCACCTTAAGAGTGAAAAATACAATTGCCTTCATGTWTTCTGTAACAACACATCCCCAATACACATTTCACGCCACTCATACTTTCTCAGATTTACTGAGCACCTGTGCTTTGGGATGAAATTTGGCATTCTGACTTTCAGTCTCAAGACATTTTGTTACAAATCCAAAAGCTATCACATGAACCACATAAGGCTGTCAAGAAACCAGAATAAATCAAACTTGATACGACTCACTACTGAAGTATGCGCTGTATTTATAACTGGTCACCCTGCATTCGGCAAATGGTTGTAAATAATTATTATGAAACAATAAATACAATGTATTTTTGCAGGACGAGTTCAGTTAGGATGGCTAAAATGTATACAAACATGGAATAAAGGAGGCAGAAACTGCTGCAGTTTGCCAGCAGATTACAACAGCACTGTCTGTGATCCAGATTAGGAGAGAGTATTTGAGCTGAGAATGATTACTTATATAAAGTATGATACTGCTCTGAGACACAACTTCTGAGGTAACAGCAAACTGAAAGTTTTCAGTTTACATGTTTTCAAAYTTTGAAAAAGAACTGTAACAATTCTTTCAGTGTTTTCTTTGTGAATTCCAGCAATGTGTAATGCTGTTTCCAGTTTCTTGCAAGATTCATCCTTTCTTTAATTAATTCCTGCTGGCAAAATAATCCTGCAGTTTAAGAAACCTTCAGCAACATTTTATGTAAACACCAGAAAACCAGTGACAAATACCAAAACTGTCTCCAGCTTTTCATGTGAAGCCTCATCTTTTGTTTAGAAACAGAACTGTCACAGGGGACTGGCCTCCCCTTACACTGGAGAGGTTACTCTGCTCTCCTTTCTCACCATTCCAGTTACAAGACTTTTCACTTTGGTTCTTTCTGGAAACTGTTCCTTTTTTTTTTTTTCTTGGTTGTTTCCTAAGCAGCAATTCCATTCCCCATGAGAGAAGTGGTTCTTTATTCTGAAAGAGACACTTTCCTATGAGGCATTTAAGTCACAGAAGCGCGGCGCTTTCACTGCAAGATCAAATATCTGGTTTCAGGTATGCTATTGTCTCCCTGGCCCAAGAATTAGGTCAAGCTGGCTCCACAGGGTATGAACATGGCCATCCTTTTAAGGGCATTTTTCTCTTCACACTACCCAAGTAACAACAAACGTTACCTAACAGCTGTCATAGGATTTGACAGATGCACACAATATTGCAGATAGTGTTACACTAACGCCAAGTGTTCTGATAATGTACAATCCATTCAGAATAGCCTGCTCCTGCTTGTCTTTTTTACCATATCAAGGTTCTGTGGAGGTTGGTGGTACCACACAGGGCATTTTGTCACGAATTTGTTCCTTAAAGACCGAAACTGAAGGGTAAAAAGAGCCTCCCCCCTTGCCAAGTATCAAAATGTTAATTTTTATAGAAAATATTTATATTTAGTCATTTAAAAAAACAAAGCCACAACAAAGACCAGAGAGAATATCACACACAGAGCTAAGYAGCACCCACAAGTTGAGCCAGCAGCCCACAGCTCCTTTCTCAGACAGAATGTGGGCTCACTGATTATGCTGTGGGACACCAAGGGTAGTGGTATGTCCTGTTCTTAAAAGCACAATCACCTACCGGTTTTCTTCAGAACAGGAAACGAGAAAACAAAACATTAGCWGCAACAGCAAACAGCAGGGGTGGAGGGAGGGAAGAGGAAGGAGACTCACATGTGACCCAGCAATGTATGAGTTACCAGCCATTCATATACAGCAGGTTTTATGCTAGTTGTAAAAACAGTTTCATGAACTAATTTGCAGATAACAAGGCATATCTGTAACCACTGGCAATTGCTGTTCACTGAATGAAAATGGGGCACGTACTTTAATTGGGAAGCACTTGCTCCTGTTGCTCTTCCATTATTGTGCCTGTCTTTGCACACAGACCAGGCTTTTCCATCACTCCTGAGCTGAGGATGGTAACTGGTCCTCATTCTGTACAAAATGACACTTTTCAACAGTATGTCACCCTAAATGGAGTTTTCACATATGAAACAAGGAGGGATGGAGAGAAGTAAGGTTCATTTCTTGGCTGAATCCTGAGGTGATTGAATACAGTGCATTTGAACATGGATGAGAGATGGGGAAGTCCAGGGGATTACCAGGAAAGTCTTTGGGAGAAGGAAGAAACTGGAGAGTCCTGGAAGACTGTGTGGGTCTGTATCAATGGATGGGAATAATACACAAAGGCAAACTGTTTACACAATAACATACACAAACAGACATGGACATACACACAGAGCCACAGACTCCCAGGCTCCCCTCTTCTGGCGTCTGCAAAAACATCTTTGATCAAATTGTGCTCTCTGCTGACAAAACAAGTACCASAGTACTGATTCTCACTTAAGCAGGACCGGTGATTTCATGATCCAGGGCTAGGACTTGGATCTAGCCTGACTATTCAAGCTATGACTTAYCCAGTTGTGTCCACCTGTATCATGTAGTCTCAAAACAGTTTTATTTCAGAACTATAAATTACTTTTACCTGAGATTACACAAGAGTTAAGTTCCCCTGCCACAAGGAATAGACAGGTTCCAAACATGAGGATTTCTTTAAGCAGATGGAGTACTTCTCAAGTGCCTGGAAGGTTCAGGGGCTTGTGTGACACTTACCCCGCTGCCCCTCAATAATCTGTGTGCTGTATAAAGCCTGTATATTCTGACAGTTGTGGACTGCCACCCTGCACTCAGCTTCACTGCATTTCCTCCCCCATTTTTCTGGCAGAGCTCTCCATCCATCTCTTCCATGGCACAACCTGGGGCTTTCCTAACCCTTCTCCTTTCCTTCTGTGCCTTGCTTTCTACGTAATCTTGGTTTCCCTGCAATGAATCGAGCTACCTCAGCCTCAACAGCAACATCAGTCAGGTTGAAACTGAGGGAAACTGAGGCACCAGGCAGCCCTTGTGTCCCACAGATACC